AGAAAGTTGGAGGGGGGCGGAAGAAAGAGGTGTATGGAGAGGGGAAGAGGTATATTGGGTTTGTATTTTTTGGGGTATTGTTGACGAGGAATTGTTGCGATTATTGTTTAATGTTGTATGGCGTCGGCTATGCACAGTATATATGTGAGTGTATGAAAATGATAAAATGGAAAATAAAAACTTTTAAACCACGCTAAAAAAAGAAAAAAAAAAGCATCTTTGGGACAAGGAGACTTACGTTTGTTTTAAAAGTAGCTTGTGGACTACTAGCTATAGTTAAGATGAGTTTACCCCAGTAAGGGTAACATAAGATGCTCCAGTTGGCCCCCTTACACACTTTTGGGCCAGATTGAAAGAGGAAGAAAGATTTGGAGCCTGGGGGGGGAGATAGTTTCATCCTCATAGTACAAAAATAGATCAGGTACATTTGTGCTTGTTCTACATCCGTTTGTCCAAGTCTCTCCCCTCCCCCCCCCCCCGCTCTCTGTCTCTGCACATCTGGGAGGAGAGAAGTTTTTTTTAGCTTGGGGAAGAAGCAACAGCTTTCCATCTTTATTTCTATCATTTTCAGTATGGAGGAAGCGATCTTATCCAGGAAGAAATTCCTGCTGGACCTCCATCTTCCTGACCTGCTGATCTTCCCTCCTCAGTCAGACCTTCATGAAAACCAGCTCTATCAGGCTGGGCATATCATTCTCCAGGACAAGGTGAGTGAGGCTGGGATAGGACACAGTGGCCTGAGGACTTCTCCACCTGGACCAGAGGGAAGGGCTGGTGGATCTGCTTAGCTGGCAGCTGACCTGCCTTGATGAAATTGCCCAACACAGTCAGACTCTTTGACGGCCTCCCTCTTCCTTCCAAGTGCAGCTTCTGGCTGTTTCAGGCTTTTAGGCTTTATACTACGGTTTTGAAATTGTTCCTATTTCATCTTGGCAGTTCGTATCCCGGCTCAAGGTTGACTCAGCCTTCCATCCTTCCGAGGTGGGTAAAATGAGGACCCAGATTGTTGAGGGCAATTGGCTAACTCTGTAAACCACTTAGAGAGGGCTATAAAACCTGAACATTGGACACTGTCTAACAAAATGAAATTCAATGGTGAAAAAACTAAGGTTCTACATTTAAGCAAGAAAAACAAAATGCACAGGCACAGTATATGTGGTACCTTATGAGCCAGCAGTGTGAAGCAGCTGCCAAAAAAGCCAACACAGTTCTAGGCTGCATAAACAGAGGGATAGAATCAAGATGATATGAATACCACTTTAATAATTCGTTGGTAAGGCCACACTTGGAATACTGCACTCAGTTTTGGTCACCACGATGTGGAGACTCTAGAAAGATTGCAGAGAAGAGCAACAAAGATAATTAAGGGACTGGAGGCTAAAACATGAAGAACGGTTGCAAGAACTGAATATGTCTAGTTTAATGAAAAGAAGGACTAGGGGAGACATGATAACTGTGTTCCAATATCTCGGGTTGCACAAAGAAGAGGGAGTCAAGCTATTCTCCAAAGCACCTAAAGGCAGAATAAGAAATAATAGATGGAAACTAATCAAGGAGAAAAGCAACCTAGAACTAAGGAGAAATTTCCTGACAGTTAGATCAATTAATCTATGGAACAACTTGACTCCAGAAGTTGTGGATGCTCCAACACTGGAAGTTTTAAAGAAGAGATTGGACAACCATTTGTCTGAATAGTATAGGGTTTCCTGCCTGAGCAGAGGGTTGGACTAGAAGACCTCAAAGATCCCTTTAAACTCTTGCTTCTATTCTATTCTATTTTAATCTATTCTAAAAGCACTGTTGAGCGGTATATAAATCTAAGTGCTATTGCTATCGCTCTCTTGCAATAACTTGTCACTTTTCATTTTGTCATAAATTCTCCAGGTGAAATACATACAAGTCAGCTTAGCCTTAATAGGCTGTT